CCCCAAAACCCCAAAACCCCAAAACCCCTTAAAATATTAATAAAACTGAAATTATAAATGGACCAAGGTAATAAAATCAAATTTGGCAACAGAAGAAGCATTTCACCGAAGAAATCAGATAAGATTTTGATCAAAATGGCCAAGAACCCTTTCCAAGAGGAGAGAAAGTTGAAGAATAAGCACCGAAAATAGAAAGAATAGATATTCCCTGAACAACAGTCCTGTAAGGATTGGTTTGATCGGCTCTGGAGTTAAATATTTTGATAAGAGTGAGTACAAAATAAGTTTTATCATTATTCTGGGGTTTTAGAATTAAGATTTAGATAAGTCTATGTTTAAAATTATTTCAAGATATTAATAAATTTTTATAGCAAGGTGAGACACTCTAAACTCTGATTTAAAAACAGTCAGAGATACTATAACTAATTCTCCAAGCAAGGTGAAATTAGCTCCTGTGTATGAAAATACCAGCAAAACTTCAAGTATCAAAGATCAAAAATCAATTCAATCCAGACTATCAGGGGCAGAAAATATTAGCTCTAGAATGAAGATCCCTCATCAACCTGTAATTAAGAATATAACATTTTTATAGGCAATAAAAACAAAATCAACCAAAGTCATACTTTTTAGTATGTAGCTGATGTAACTATAGGTAACCAACATCAAGAACCTATCCTTGGGCCAGGGTTAAAATAAGCTAGAGAATAACATTCCTTGTTAGTTCCATAATTTTATAGCTATAGCACCGAAAAATCCACAAATTAACAACCCATTGCATTCTCAAAGGAATGCTCCTCAAAATTCTCCAAAATTAGACAACAAGAAAGCTGAGTACGATCTACTAGAGTCCTTGGCTAAAGAAAAGAAGTATGACTGCATAAATCAATACCTCACCTGGTTGCCTAAAAAGAAGAGGTAAATCCCAATCTTTTAGCTCAAGGTGTAAATATCTTATAGAAAATAGCGAATGTAATGCCATTAAAATCCCAACAGGTCCAGTCATAGGTTTGAAGATATCTTAGCGTATAGAAAATACACCACCAGCGAAAGAAGTGGCCTTTAAAGTAATTTGTGCTTAACCAGGTTAGAGCAAACCAAGTTTACCTGGTAAGAATTTGCCAGAGAAGGGATCTAAGATAGATCCGATTTCCTGTAAAATTGATGATCTTAAAAGTTAGGGAACTATAAAGAATGCTTTAATAATACTACGTCAATCCCACGGTTTATTAAGAGCAAATCTCAGACACAGATTTCCAGCCTGGTAGGGAATAATATTAAGAGGAAGGATTCAAGTAAACAATTGGCCCCGATTGCCCAAGCTACTGGGGAAAGCATCGTTGTTGGCATGAAATACAACTTCTCTCAAAATAATTTGTAAGATAACTTAGATAATGCACAGCCAATTCCCTCAAAAAGAATCTAAGAGGGGATCCCATGCAAGGACAAGTGGAAGTGTGCCTGAGCAAAAGCCTCATATTTCGGGCTCAAAGTCTTCTTTAATTTGGTAATTTTTGGATAGACTTTTTAGATCAAATAAACAACCAATTGGAATAAAAAGTGCTACGTTTGGCCTCCCTATGATATCTGAACCAAGCGAAGCTGAGAGATTAGTGTTCCATTCTGAGTTCAAAAGAGATCCAAATTTTCTACTAAAATGTAAGATTTGATATTAACAAAATATAGTCGCTGAAGAAAACTTTGACTTCAATACGTAAGATCCTTGAAATCAATATACTGCTACTCAATAAGCTTGAAACTAAAGTCTTTAATTACTCTGTAGATCTAATCCTATTATCTTTATTTAGAATATCTTTCATAAGCTGCTATTACCATCAACATTTACTTCTTTAAAACTTGACCGATTATAGACAAAAGATAAACTTACAGAAAAAGAAGGAGCAAGAAGTATGTGAAAAGAAAGATCATGTCAAAAACCTTAAACGGGAGAGGCTGATTCAGAGCCATGTGGCCAATTACATGAACAAGTAAAGCTTAATATCTATACTATAGCATAAAGAGAGAGCAGAAGAGAAAGGCTTACAAGTAACTTGACTCTTAATTTTTAGTTTCATTAATAAAGCTCCCATTGTAATCGAGCCAGAGTTTCCATGTATAAAGTCAGGAAGAAGATCGTGCGACTCTTCTATACAAGGATCTCTGCTTGGCCGCTATTCCTCAGATCTTGTCTAAGATGACCCGTTGAACTATATGCTCAGTTATATTTTGTTGTAAAGATAGTTTTATAATCATTATGAAGCCTCTAAATATCGCCACTTTTGGAAAATCAATTACATTCAAACACCTAGATATATCATAATGCATTATTGTGTCAAAGAAACAGCTGGTTAATATAAAAGAACTATCTGGGTGAGGGTTTAAGTGTTGATAAAACAGAAAATTGCTTGTCTATAGATCATCAAAGACCCCTCGTTAGAAATCTGTTTGAATTTTCCTCTTGCTCTCTTCCGAATTTTATCTAACTCATTGCAAAATTAATAATGAAGCCTTTAAGGATAGAATTGTTCGGTTCAATAGTTTTAATCATGAAGCAGAATAGAGCCAGCTTCAATGCAAAAGTATAATTTCTAGTTTAGGAATCAAGCGATTAAAGGAAATGATAGTTGTTCCTTTCTCCAGATTTGTTCAAAATTGCTCCCAATTTGATGGTATATAGTATCATCTGAGTTTACTCAGAAAAGAAAATGTAGGCTTTTACGTGAGAATTTACGCATTTAGAACGAAAATAAGTTAATATGTTGAAGTCTTGACTTTTTGAGAAGTGTTTAATAATTTGGGGTTTTGGGGTTTTGGGGTTTTGGGGTTTTGGGG